CTCCTGTCTGTCTGCTCTTACATCTGGCAGTTTTGCCTTCCTTTGGCGATCATTACATGTCGTTACCTAAGCAATGCGAGCTTCAGTCCTGACGGTGGGCAGCTCTCTCTTAACTGGAGCGGCGACGAGAACAGTAGCAGCCGTGTCAGTCGTTCCTCTGGGTGACGGAACTGGACTGAAGCAGTTTAGCCAGATAGGCTGTGTGTGTTTTCCTCACGTGGCAGGAAGTCACGAGGTGGCCAGCTGAGCTCGTGGGTCTTCTCACGGAAGTGGTCAGGGACCTGGGCTTCTCCTGGCTGCCGCTCTGCCATTCCTGACATGTGGCCTGTGTCCTCGTGGTCCCAAAGTGGCTGCCAGACCTCCAGCACCACTGTGTGTTCCAGGCAGGACCCCGTGGAATGGATGGCGTGACCCCGTTTCACAGAGAGGAAGGCGATGCTCACGAGGATGAGAAATCCCTGTCTCACGGGAGTGGGTGCTGTGAGGGCTGAGGCCGTCCGTGTCTGGGGCCTGAGGCACAGCAGGTGTAGCCGTTGTTTGCTCAATGGGAGGGGCCTCTCCAGGCCCCTAGGGGATGATGGTGGGCCTCTGGGTGCTGGAGCCCCTGCACATGGTCGGCCTGGGGCCTCAGACCCCCTGGGGCTGCCCGTGGCACCTCAGAACTGGCCCGTGAGTGGGACAGCAGTGTGGCCTGTTTAGTTGGGGGTGGAGGATGCTGGTTGTGCCAGGACAGGCTGGGGCTGCAGTGATGGCCAATGACACCCAGGCCTGGCGACAGGCAGCAAGGCACCTGGCCCTGAGTCCTGCAGCTCGTGTCTGCTGACCCGGTCCTCAGTGCCCACTGCATGGGAGATACAGGGGAGGGTTTGTTCTTGTTCCATTTAGGAAGACAGATTTAAATTCAGGGGCAAACTATGGCCTGAGGACCAACCTGGCCCACCACTGTCTTTGTCAATAAAGTTTTACTGACACACAGCCATGCATTTCATTTACATATTGTCCCTGGCTGCTTTTGTGCTACATGGCAGAGTCGAGTAGTTTGACAGAGACTTTGCAGCTTGCAAAGCTTGAAATGTTTACTGTCTGGCCCTTTGCAGGACTGGTTTGCCGACTGTGGCCTGTGCAGAAAGCAGCCAGGATCAGGGCTGTGCAGGGAGGCTTCCTGAGAGGCATGGGTGGGCGGGGGCTCACGAGGGCCCACGAGGGCCTGCAGGGTTTCTGGAACACATGATGCAACAGCCATGTGGGGGCTTGGTCAGGAAAGAAGCTGCTTGGGGTGCAGATGGCCAGGGTGCGGCTCTGAGCATCTGCGGGGGCAGCGGGCCAGGCGATGGTGAGGTGGCCTGGGGGCGTGTGGCCCAGAGGACAGCACTCCTCAGCTCGGCCCTGGTGCCACAAGGGGCTGTGGGTCAGAGCAACTAATTCCTGCCATTTTCCAAGAGAAGCCGGCAGTCTGGTGTCATGGGAAACGTTTAAAAACCACAAGCGCATGTGCCTCAGGTGCGCAGGGTGGAAGTGAGGAAGGTGGGGTGTGGGGGAGACCCCGGGAGCATGCCAGGCTGCGTGCCCCCGAGATCCCTCCTGCAGAGGCTGGCAGGCGGGCTCTGTGCTGGGGGAGGGCTCTCAGGAAACTGGGAGGTCGGATGTGTGGCTGAGCCTGGGGCCTGCATGGCTGGTCTCCTGTCTCCTATCCTGTCGGAGCTGGTGGGTCACTCCGGCCTGCAGGCTTGGGCATGAGCCTGAGTGGGGCACCTGTCCTTGCTCATCTGGCCACCCCAGAGGGGAGGGGCTCTGTAGGTGGAGGGTGGGAGGTGGAGATCTCCGAAGTCCCCTGGGAGATTCTCAAGGGTTTGGGTTTGCTGCTCGCCCTCATGGAGTTGAGGCCGTGCCAGGAGGGGTGACAGGTGGGGGCTGGGCTTGGAGCTGCATCGTCCTGAGCGGACCCCAGCTGGAGGCTCCTGTGGCCTGAGATGGGGATGACTCTTTCATCGCAGGTTGCCGTGAGAATGAAGAGAAAATGAGAGTGACAGGGCTGGGTTTGCACAGCATCTGGGGTGCCTGTGCTGGGGCCTGGCCTCGGGGGCGGGCCTGTTCCCCCGACAGCATCTGGGGTGCCTGTGCTGGGGCCCTGCCTCGGGGGCGGGCCTATTTCCCCGACAGCATCTGGGGTACTGGGCTATTTTCAGCCTCACAGATGGGCCCTCACCTGCTGAGTTGAGAACTGGTTTCCAGGCGCTCGCTGGCATCACTCTGGGCTTAGTATTTGTTTTAAGCAGGACTCTTGGTTGCAAAATGACAGCAGCCCAGGCCAGCTTGGCTTCAGCAAGAAGTCCTGGCTCAGGAACAGGGAGTCCAGGGTGACTCTAGCATCTAGCAAAATAGGATTCAGATGCTCAGACGATATTGTCAGGTCTCTGTCTTGCTCTGTCTCCAACTCAGCTTCCTTGGCAGGCACCCCAGTGGTGGCAGAAGTGGCCTCAGGCCCTAGCCAGTTTGGCTCAGTGGATAGGGTGTTGGCCTGTGGACTGAAGGGTCCTGAGTTTGATTTCAGTCAAGGGCATGTACCTTGGTTGCAGGCTTGATCCCCAGCCCTGGTCGGGGCGCATGCAGGAGGAAACTAATCAATATGTCTCTCTCACATCGATGTTTCTCTATCTCTCCCTCTCCCTTCTATTCTCTCTAAAAGTCAATGGGAAAATATCCTCGAGTGAGGATTAACAACAACAACAATAACAAATAAGAGGTGGCCCTCAGGCTTGGGACCCAACCTCACAGGAACCTGGGTGGAGTTGGGGACATCCCTGTCCCAATAGCAAAAGTCCCACAGCTGCTTCTCATTGGCCCAGCGTGGGTCACGTGATCACCCCTCATCCCTGCTGGGGGAGGTCCAGCCTCCTCTCACCCTTCCTTTAGCTGTAGGGTGGGCTGGGGGGCTGGCACAAGTGAAAGCAGGAAAATCAAGATGCCCATCCACACCAGAATGGGGAGTGGAGGCTGGACGGGCACACGCCCTCGCCACGCCCACCCACCGGCTAGCGCAGCGCTTGGAGCTGAGGAGGCCACATTCCGAGCCCCTGGCTCATCACAGGCCACCTGTTCCGGCAGCCGTCAGTCCCGCGCTCCAGCCGGCTGCGTCACTTGCCCACATTCCCCCCCCCCGGGCCCCACGGTGTTGCCAGGGGCTTGCTCCAGGGCCGGCATGGAGCCGCCAGCTCCACAGCCTTCCTTCCGGTCGTGCAGGCTGGGGCCCTTAGACAAGGCTTGTTCTCGGGAGCCCTGTGCGTTCCTCGCGGGAGCTTCCTTTTCTGAGCACACGCAGCAGCTCTCTCATAACCGGGCCGTCTGGCGGGGCCCACCTCCCAAGCAGGGATGACGTTTCCCTCCCTCACGAGGCAGGACCATTTCTTACATCAGATCTCGCTGGATCTAGAGACACCGTGACATCTAAAGCTGCTAAAAGTCTCTTCTGACCACTTCGTGGTTCCTTCTTAATGAGGTGGATTTTCCTCCTTTTCTGGGAGTCTGTCCCCTTGAGAGAGGAGGCAAAAGCCCCGTCTGTGTGGTAGAACCATTTCAGAAAGAACGGGATCGGGATAAGGCCCAGCAGCCCCAGGAGGGGCCGCACAGCGGGGCCGGGACCCTGGCTGTGACCTGGCCTGGTCACCGGCCTGTGGGGACTCTCAGGGGCCCCTCCTCTTGCCTGGGCCCTAGGCCTGTCTTTCAGGGTCACAGAATGGACTTTGGAGTGTTCTCTAGATGGCACTGGGCGGGGGCCAGTTGGGAGGAACGGGGTGTAGATACCCTAAAGCTGTGGGCTCTCCTCTCGCCTCGCCACATCGCCCTGGTGTGATTCTCAGTTGTGTCTGGCCTTGGTGCTATTGAAGGGCTTGGTCCCCATCTTTGGGGGGGGGGGTTGGGGGTGATGCAGCCCAGGGAGGTGCTGGGAGCAGGGGGACAGGTGGCAAAGGCCCGTGTCCCAAGTAGCCTCCTAGTGGGCTGAGCCAGGGTGGGCTGGCCGGCGCTGAGTGCGTGGAATGTTCTGTTCGTCCTTTTGTGAGGCTGGCCCGTGGCCAAGGTGAAATGCTGGTCTTGCTTTTCAGATGTGGGTGACGGCACGGAGGTTTGTGCTCCTAGACACCTGGGCACGTGCTGCCTTATTGGGAATCCTTCGATGCAATTGAGAGGGCTGGGTGTGGGGAGAGCTCGGGCCCTGGGCTCAGACACTACAATCCGCCTCCTCCCCCTACACCCTGCCCATCCCCCCTACTGGAGCAGCCCTTCCGCAGCCTGGCCGATACTCAGCTGTCACTCACTGGGATCAGCCCTGGGAGCTCTGACGGTGCCCAGTGTCCAGGCCACACCACCGACCAGTGACATCAGGCTCAGGGCGGGTCCGACGTGGTCCTTCCTAACCCTCCCAGGAGACTCCCCGTGCGTCTGAGTTTGAGGGGATCCTGGGTAAAGCTGGACTTTCCTCAGATGCAGGTGTAGCCTGGAGCGTCTGCCACTAGAGAGAGCTTGGGGAGGGCGCCTGATGGAAACTCCCTTCCCATCCCCCCTGCAGCAACATCCACCCAGAAATAAGTGCTTCCTAAAACGGTTCGATTGAAAAAACAAAAACTAACGCATGTGGCGCACACTCAGGAGCACAGACGGGTCCCCAGTAGCCCGTCCCGTTCCCGCAGCGGCAGGCCCTGCCCAGGCTCCCGGGGACCCTGCCGAGCTGTCTGTGTCCCGGCGAGCGGCTGGCTCTCCCGGCGTCCCTGCGCGCCCGCTCTGCCTGTGCCTGCCGCGCCCACACGGCGCTCCCTGGGGCACAGGGACCTGCACATGCGGGCTCCCTGGGGGCGGCTTCCTCTGGGCAGAGCTGCCAGAGCCTCTCGGAGTCTCCCATCATGTGCACAACTCTCCCCACAGGACCCGTTCCTCCAACTGGAATTCTTGGGTCACAAAACAAGTGGAGTCACACGGCTGATGGGCACCCGTTTCTGTCATTCCAGAACCTGCCTAGGCCGGCGTCCCCGCCCTTTGAGCTGCCCGCGTTGTACAGGACGGAGGACTACTTTCCTGTGGACGCCGGGGAGGCGGCGCCCCAGGCCCCCCGCTGCCGCGGCCGCCTGTGAGCTGGCGGGAGGGACCCTCTGCGTGCGGGGCAGCCCGCTTTCTTCTATTTTTGTTGTCATCGATGTGTTTGCTGAATTTCCTCCCCTGCTTCACGCGAGACCGAGGGGTCTGGAGAAGCAGCTGGACCTGCGTGGCGATGCCTCCGGGAGGAGCTGTGAAGGCTTTGTCCGGTGGTTGGCGGTCAGCTGTGACGGCTGCAGTGCCCGAGGGACAGCGGGACTTGCTCTCTGGGGGGTGTTGCCCGGGAATATGGGGGACTCACTGGGTGCACAGGGCTATGGCTCATGTCCCTCACTGTTGGCTGGCTTGTTTCGAACCCAGTGCCCCCTGGCACGTGAATCATGTCAATAAAGGTGTCAAGAGGTCACGTGTGGTCTGGGCGTGGGAACGGGGTCGGACGTGACGGTTCCCGTAAGGCTGCTCCTGTCACCTGGGCGAGCCCGCCCCAAATCTCCGATGCGGCCCCGGCCGTACCTGCCGGGCGCCACTCGGCCCTCAGACCCCAGCAGCCCGCGGAGGTGCAGTGTCAGGACTTCGTCTGCAAAGGTGTGTTTGCTCCCATTTCTTCTCATGCAGGTGAGTTTCCTGCAATTACCCTGAAAGTCCACACGTTAGTCATGTTTCTCGTTTTTCTAGAATTTCTCAGAGAGCCAAGGGAACACACACACACACACACACACACACACACACAGACCTGCACTGGAATTTCAAGGAAATTTAACTTAATGAATCAGGTGAGATAGCAGAAAAGGAAAAAGTTGAGACTTGCTAATTTTAGGGTAATTTTTGGAATTAAACGATAAAGGTGGACCCCTTGTTTCAAGAAGAGCTGATGTTTTTCTGTGGAGGCAGTTTTTGTAAACTTCTGTGATTTTTTTATTAAAAATGTTTATAAATTATGTTAAACTATGGAAGTCTAGCAGACATAGAGGAAGGTGCACCTTCGCGCATGGTTCACTGGGGTTTCACATCTGTTCCCCTCCCCCAGGTGGAGAAACAAGCAAGCTTGGTCCATGTTCCGGCCTCCTGCACCAGCCCCACCGATACCTCGCGGTGCAGACAGGGCTGCAGCCTCTGTCCTGTGGGCTGCAGGGTGACGAGGATGCGCACGCTGTGTCCTCTGTGTCTGGCTCCGGCTGACACTGCCTGTGGGAGGCGTCCCTGTGCAGCTGCGATCGCTGATCCTCGTGGCTGCGTTGGATCGATCGGACTGTTAGTAATGAAGGAAGCTTAGACACTCGCTGTGCCCCAGCCTGCTCGGGGACAGCACAGATTCGATGGAAAGTTCATTTTTCAGACACCACCTCCCAGAAGGCTGAGTCTATGTTGATCACTGGAGAGGCCGAGGCTTCTTTCTCCTTCCAGAGCCTGAACCAGGTGACAGGGAGGGTGACAGGCACTGCCAGTGGCCAAGCTAGAGCACCTTCAGTGGCCTAGAATAGAGACCCACAGGACCGAGGCTAAGAGCTATGGGCTCTGAGTGGCACCATCATCTCCTTATGCCTCTCAGCTGTGTGACCCCGGGCTAGTTCAGTGATGGCGAACCTACGACACGTGTGTCAGGTGACACGCGAACTCATTTTTTTGGTTGATTTGTCTTTGTTAAATGGCATTTAAATATATAAAATAAATATCAAAAATATAAGTCTTTGTTTTACTATGGTTGCAAATATCAAAAAATTTCTGTATGTGACACGGCCCCAGAGTTCAGTTAGGGTTTTTCAAAATGCTGACACGCCGAGCTCAAAAGGTTCACCATCACTGATCTCTGGGAAAACGGTGGCAAATGAGCTAGAACTGGCCACTCCAAGTCCCTGGAGTTGCAGTGCCAAACAATAAACGCTTAGGGTCCTTTGGAGACACCTGGGGGAGGGGAGGTCGGGCGCGGTCTGCCAGGTATTCCCGACCTCGGTCCTGGGAGCCTGGGATGCGGGAGGCCCTGTCCTGTGCCATGTGACCTGACAGGTGTCTCCTTTAGAGCAAATGCCAGAGTAAATGAAGCCTCGGTGCTGACGCGGCAGGTGCCCCTCGCGAGGGTCACTTTGCAGCCTTAGAAAGGGCGACCTTTCCTTTCTCTGTGGCTGTTGTTGGACAGGGCGGCCACACAAAGGCCACTCTGCAAATTTTCACGAGGGCAAGGCTCTTCTGCCGCCGCCTGCCCCTTCTGTGGATGTGAACTTCGTGTCCGTCAAAGCGTGAGGTTTCAAGACGGTGGCCCTGGGTTGACAGAATGTGTGGTTTGCCCTAAACTGTTTTTAAATTGTTTTCAGGTTGAGACAGCTGAGTAACTATCTGGAAAAGGTGAGTTCCATACTTCACTCTGCTCACAGGAGCAGCTCCAGAATTCCAGATGGATTGAAGAGGAGTTAAATATATGAAAATTAATTTATAAGGAGGCATAAACATTACAGGATCATACAAAATCCAGAAGCCATAAAAGCTAGATCAAATTGACCGTATATATATGATTAATCCTCTGCATGGCAAAAAGAAACTCCAAAACAGAACAACATCCTAAGCATATTTAAAAGACAAATGACAAGCAGGGAAAATTTATTTGCAGCTCATATTACAGAAGGATAGACTCCCTAATATATAAACAGCACCGGTATATAAAAGGAGAATAATTAAAAATGGGCAAAGGATAGGAAAAGGAATTTCACAGGAAATGCAAAAGACTTTTAAACATTTGAAAAGCTGGTCAACCACAATCTATACCCATCCATATGCAAGAAGATTGAAATCACATTTTTATTAGGCTGGCAAAAATGAAATGTCTTTTTGAAAACACTGTTGGTGAAATCCTGAAGAAACATTCATTCTCACACATCATTAGGGGGAACCACTCTCCTGGAGGCCGTGGGCTGTACCTGTCAACATCAGAAACGTGTATACCTGTGAACTAGCAATTCCACCCTTAGGGTCCAGCCTCCCAGTACACACACGAGAGAAACGACACATGCAAAATGTTACTCACTGTGCAATGAAATAGCAGGAGTTCGGAAGGAACCTCCGTGCCCATCACTATGGGATTGGTTTAGTTGTAGCCCATCCATGATACATGGATAGATGGAATCCCCTGAAGTTATAAGAATGGATTAGGAATTCTTGATGAATCGGTATAGAAATACCACCGATATCAGAAAGGCAAAGTGCTTACACATGTGCCTGATATGCCACCATTTGTGCACGAAAGAAGGACATCGAAATTCTCTGGGAGGGTAAACAGAACTTTGAGAACAGTAAATATCTGTTTTAGGTGAGAAAGCTTTTTTATTTTACTTTTGTATCCTTACAAAAATAATTTTTGGCCCTGCTGCAGTGGCTCAGTGATTGAGTGTTGACCTATGAACCAGGAAATCATGGTTCAATTCCCTCATTAGGGCACATGTCCAGGTTGCGACTTCCATCCCTGGTGGGGGGCGTGCAGGAGTTAGCCTATCGTGACCTCTCTCTCTCTCTCTCTGAAATCAATAAAAATATATTAAAAATATTTTGGTGTTTACCTATTCAAAATATTCAATTAAAATCAGTTCCCAGCATTTAAAAATGTGGACAGTCCAGACAAAGACCTGGACTTCCAGTTTCTCTTACAAACGGGAATTATCTGGCAATATTGGCCCAGGTTCTCGCAAGGCAACAATGAGCCACAGCTGCGTCGCTGTGGCGGGGGCATGCTCTCCAGGTTTCTTGTATCAAATAGTTTCACTAATTGATTTTACCTGCCCGGCCCCTGTGGGCACTGGCATTTGCAGGCATCTCTGTGCCCCGATTTCAGATTCCATGGGACAGGGAGTGGGGGTCTCATTACAGAAATTTATGCTTTCCTCGGCTCTCCTCTGGGGGGTGACTGGTACCAAGTCAGACAAAGATATAAGAGCGCTACAGACCGGTATCCCTCGTGAATATAAATACAAAACTCCTCGACAAAGTATTAGCAGACTGAACCCAGCAACTTACGAAAAGGATTATTCACCATGACCAAGTGGGAGGTCCTAGAAATGCAAGGTTGGCGTGACATCTGAAAATTGACGTAACACACTGTTACTGAAGGTCAACAACTATGCAGTCACCTCAGTGGATGCAGAGAAAGCACTTGACCGCATCCACCTGTGATAAAAAGCTCTGCTTGAGGTGAAAAGCGTTCTCTGAGAGGAGGGCCAGATGATTGGTTGACCCCATCCTCAGGCAGCTGGAGGCACCCAGGCATTTTCCTCCCCATCTTACAGCAAAATTCCTCTTTGTCTTATGGTCAAGAGCACAACCAACCATCTTGGGGTTTGCAAACACTCAAAGCAATCCTGACTCTGAGCAGCTGTCCCTGAGTCCTGTGGGTTGGCTGTGGACTCAAAAGCCCGAAGCCTTACCAGTCAGCATCAGCTGGATGCACTTCAGGCTTGCAAGCCCCTGGGGAGGGGCGGTGGGCCCAGGGCTGGTCTCTGCCCTCTTTCCTGGGGCTTCTGGCGGGTCTGCTTTGCTGGCTACACATGATGGGAGTTTGAGGAAGGGGCTGAGGAGCAGGCTGCCCCAGACAAATGCCTTTGGTTGGGATAAAGGTGTGGTTCTCCCAAAGAACCAAACCAGCCCAGCCTGAACGCTGGAAGCCGGCCCCTGCACCCGGAAGGACTTCCTCCCTGGGTCTTGCGAGGAGCTGCTCCATCACAATGTGTTTCAGCAGCACCACTCTTCTGGGAGAGCCGGGCCCGGGCGTCCGTGAGGGAGACCTGGAGGAGCACCCCCTGAACAAGGTATGTGCCTTCTTCTATTGGCGTATCCAGGGTGGCTTCCCGGGGGCTCTCCCGTTTTAGGCCCCTGGTCTTGCTGCCCGTGAAGCGGGGAGACATGAGGGCATTAGCTTGCACACGTACAATTGTTTGCTATGCCCAGGTTGCATCTCTGAGCGTAGAGATGGGACTTGTAGGCTGTCCGACTGGTGTCGAATAGAGGAGAATGGAAAATATGGTCTTACACCGGGAACCACTGGGAGCAAGTTTGTTCATCAGGGGAAGGCTCACGCTGTAGCCCAGGTTCCCTTGTGTGTCTTTAATGCAGTGGTTCTCACCCTGGCTGGGTAGCTTGATTGGTTAGCAGTGGTTCTCAACCTTCTGGCCCTTTAAATACAGCTCCTCATGTTGTGACCCAACCATACAATTATTTTCATTGCTACTTCAAAACTGTAATGTTGCTACTGTTATGAATCGTAATGTAAATATCTGATATGCAGGATGGTCTTAGGTGACCCCTGTGAAAGGGTTGTTCGACCGCCAAAGGGGTCGCGACCCACAGGTTGAGAACCGCTGGGTTAGAGCATCGTCCCTATACACCAAGGTCGTGGGTTGGACCCCCAGTCAGGGTCCCCAACCAATGAATGCATAAATAATTGGAACAAGTTATTTCTCTCCCTCTTTCTTTCTCTAAAATCAATTAAAAACCCCCCACAAAAACAAAAAACCCACCATGGTTCTGTCTTGGCTGCACATTGGAATCAGCTGGGCCACCCGGCAGCCCAGTTACATCAGC